CGATGGAAACTTGTGATTTTTATAGACCTCTAATCGCAGATTCGTGATAGAGTCTCAATTCAGAATTCATTTCCACGCCCTGTATGATGAAGGTCAATTTATCATACACCCAAAAGCAAAAACGTCCAAATGACAGGAATAGAATGTCAACAAATTTCTCAGATGTCATTTCGTTATAGTTTTTACTCGATTTTAGTTGTATTATATAGAGATGAAAATTGTGTATATCATGAAGAATGGCTGTAAGAATAAGTGGACATCATGGTTACTGATGAGGATTCAGAGATCCGAAATGGGTTCATTGCAATAAAGTCATATAACCTGTGTGTGAGAGATAAAATTTCCCATATCACTGATATGAATGATTATTTTTTGGACGTTTTCAAGATCATCAAGATCAGAGTTCATGCCAGTACACTTCTCCTATACATTCCAATTTTCATTTCAATGCTGAATATATTGGTAAGTCATATTTCTAGATCATTATTCATCATATTATTCATCCGATTTCAAGAAGAATGTCAATTCTCAATATCGGAGGATTTTATTCTTTATTTTTCATGTTCCCCTTTTGAATATTCATCAGATATAATTCAATGTTCGACGTGGCAAATAGCCAGGAAAGTAGTTGTTTTCTGTTGAATATTCAGAATGATGTGTATATATACATATTTTTGTCTGAAGGAGAATGCAAATTCTCAATTTCAGAAATTTTTATATTTTATTTTCAAACTCTTATCGTGTGTGTTCAATAGATATAATTCAATGTTCGTCGTGGCATATAGCCAGGAAAGTAGTTGTTTTCTATTGAATTAACTGAAAAAGAGTAAATATTCTCATCACATAGAGAATGCGAATTCTCAATGTATTGCTTTATATAAATATATATCCATTTTTGTATGTTCATAATTCATCTGAGAATATTCCTTTTTAAAACTTTCATACCCAATCAGGGGGTTCAAACTTGAACGATGGAAACTTGTGATTTTTATAGACCTCTAATCGCAGATTCGTGATAGAGTCTCAATTCAGAATTCATTTCCACGCCCTGTATGATGAAGGTCAATTTATCATACACCCAAAAGCATTCTAATTTGTTCTAATTTTTTTCCAAGAAAATTGTTCACAATACTCTAATTCTTCCATACCTCAATTTTTGTTCAACAATTCTATATCTTCTGAATCAGAATGATTTGAATAGAATACAAAAATTGCAAAACAGAGCAATGCGTATTATTTTAGCATGTAATAAGTATACAAACCAATAAAGGATATGTTGAAAAGTTCAAATTGGCTGCCTATTGAGGATTATTTTGAATTTTTGGTATCGGCATTTGTTTTCAAAATAAAAAAGGTGAAGCACCAAATTGTTTGGTGAATAAGCTGACTTATAACACAGTAGAGAGCTTATAATGAAGAAATGCATCATCATAACACCAGACAGAAAGAACTCTTCTTCATTTTACCGAGGAGTAAAAGATTGGCAGGTAATTCCGTTTTTTTTTTTTTAAGATTGAAACAATGTAATGACTTGCCATCTGACGTGAAGAATGCATTTTCCATCAATATATTCAAGACCAAGTTAAAAATGCATTTATTGAAACGAATCAACTAAAACTTTTGAAGATTTCAAATCGTTTATTTTATGTCCTGTATTTTTATTGTAGGTACCTTTTGTGTTGATCTTAAGTTTGTGAATTAAGTGTCTAGATGTTCCTTGTTCGTTTAGATCTTTTATGACTGTTTTTATATCACATTGACTTGTATATTAGCTTTTGCTAAATAAATAAAGAATCAATGAAGAACACATGCTCAAAATCATTGTGATTTTTTTTTGGGCATGAAAATGCAAAATGACCCTTTTTCTCTAAAACGGTTCGTTTTACGGCATTAAAACAAGAATACCTATAGCTTTTTCATGTAGAGGTATTTGAAGAACCATATTCTGATAGTAGAATTGATAGCTTGGGTAATTTTTAGGGCATCGGTTAGGAATTTCGCACCTCCCTGTACATCAATGATAACAAAGATAAGCGAAGAAAACTGTATTTTAGGACCTACCTTAGTAAGCATATTCGGACACATGTTGATAGGAACATTTTTTCTTATTTGTATCTGCAGAATTACATCCCGGAGCATACAAACGTTATTCTGGGACACCCTGTATACATACATACCCATGTGGTGTCAAATGTATAACCTCCCCCTTGTTGAACGCCGCTTGAAAAACTAGTAGGCTAGTAATTCTGGAAATTTCTTGATATTAGCACCACTAATCCAAATGATCATTTTTTCGCATAATCTCACAGAACTTTTCACGGTATAAAAATACGCACAAAATCAGAAATAAATGCTCTACTGTCTGTGAAAAATTGGAGTCAATACCTAACATCGCTCTGATATTATTATGTGGATCAACATAGCCGAATTTATAATCAGTAATACGATATGCCCCAGTGGAAATTGATTTGGTTTTCGTTCACAAAATTTCGTGGCTGATTCGAATGCGATAGACAGAGATCGACATGTACAACTGCCGTTTTAGGGACTTAAATGCTGGCATATGTGTTGTAACAGATCTAACATGTGTTTTACAAAAAAATAAACCATTATTAGAATTCCGTGTGTGGAAGAGAGCTTGCTGTTAGGAATGTATATTATTCTCACGAATCATTATGATATTTTTCATAATGCGGAGCAAAGTGGAGCAAAGTTTCATCGTGAAGGCTGTTTTTGAGGCCCAACATGAATAATTTCGTTTAGGGTCTTCCTTCCCTTTTTATCATCGTTTCTCAGTAGGAAAGCGTGGAGTCAATCACGGCCCAAAAACTTTTATACCAACCTTTCTATGTGGCAAAACTATAACCAAACTTCCTCAAACTTCCTCGAACTTTCCAAACTTCCCCGATTTTCCTAGTACTTCCCAAAACTTCCCCAAAGTTCCTCAAACTTCCTACAACATCCTAAGACGTCCACGAACTTCCTGAACTTCTTCAGAGTTTTGAAATTATCTTTTTGATTATGGAATCTGTTTTTCATATTGACTTTTTCGTTTCTCGAATACATTTTCCGTCTCTATTGATAATATACAATTTTAATCAACACACAAATGACAAAGAAAAATTATTGATGCAATCGATTATAACTGTCATACTGTCAAACACATAAAACATTTTGTGTAGGTACATCGCCTACTAAGTGAAATAATTATGAAAAAATAGACTGATAGCCATGTGGATCATCGTATAAGAGGAACAATTTTAGTTTTATTTTTCCAAATGGAAAGATCATGTGATAGGTACATGGCGAAAATAAAGGACAGATTGTTTCTGTACGAGTCGAGTAGCTGATGAATTCGAAAAAATATGTTTCTATCTTAGATTCCTCAATATCATGAGTTATTTTCGAAGGTTTTCATCTTGACTCAAACAAGCTATTGACAACCTGCAGACATTGTCGATATATATCATCGAATTCATGTCACAGCCAACTTATTCTTTTTGAATAAAAAGCAATTCAACAGCGAATTAAGAAATTAATGCCACTTTGTGATACATGGTTGGATAGAGAATTCTAAGGCGAAAAAGATAGACTGAAGAAATGTACAGGGTGACATTTAAAAAAAAAGTTGGAGTCACTTCCGGTCAAACAGGTGTTTGAAAAAAATTGTCGTTAAGTTCGTAAAGTGCGCTATCATTTATTATATACCCCCTGTTAATTTCAAAATTTTATCTCTTCAAATAAAAAAACTACAGGTTGCTATATCTCTCCTGTGTCACCCGGTATATCTGTTGAACATCAAAAAAGAGTGCATGAAAAATGAATATTCAGAATTCTACAACCAAAAGCTATCTATATATGATATCTGAAATTGATAGAATTCAATTAACTAACATGTTGAAGGAAAGACAAAATTATTCCAACACAGATAATCACTGCAGGATGTATGAACCAAATGAAAACAATAAAATTCGATAACAATATTTGAGTTTTCTGATTAATTTGGATGTGTACAGTATACTAGTACTGTTACTACTGATAGAGCTGTTACTCTCTACTCGCCCTGGTGTATATGCAATGATTTATTGTCCTCAGAGAATAATTTACAGAAAGATTAAATATAAAATACAGTCAACTGTAATAGGGACACCCAGTATACAATTTCAGATTTGACTAGGGTTGGTCACTGCTAATCAAACAATTTGGGTAAGAATTCTACGTAAAATTATGAAGATAATAATGTACTTATTATTTTTATTATCGTATGTATCGTCAAGAAACTGTTTACTCCACCCCTGTACATTTACGCCAACAGGTAGGCAAACCATTTTACAATAACATGTACGACAAATTGCCTACTCCTGTCGTTCCATTGTTTCAGTTAGAGTCACTGGATCATCACTGGATACATCTCTCACTGGATGGTATTAATTCTAGTTTCAATCAGATAGATGAAGATGATGATAATATTATCATTTTACTTGATTCCTATTCGATTTGTTCAGGTTTGAATGTCTAGCATCAGAATTCACCGAAGTCATTGCTCATGTATGCTTCATTATCTTGCTTTTCGATTTCTCATTTTTGAAATTCGTGCAATTTGTACCAAAGCACTACTGCGCTTGAACGAAATCCTTCATGCGCTGATGAATGGCGCAGTTGTTGCCCTACTAATGACATTGAACTATTCAAAATATCAAGAGAATCTCCAATAAACTCGGGATTATAAAAAAACTAAGATAAATAAGGATCGAAATTACATATTTGAGAGTGTATTCAGTCAGAAACTCTTCTCCGACACAGAGGTAAGATAAACATTGAATACCTAACCCTTATCAATCCCTTTTGATCCGGACCATAAATTTCTGAAATATCTCAAGTTCATTCTCAAAAGGATTTTATCATCTCATCTGAATAAACTGATTAGGAAAGCACTGCTCCGTGTTGTCTATATTAATAATATTTTTACATTTTGAAGGCAGTAGACAGTCAGCAGAACCATGTCTCTCACCTCTGTTATTGTTGAGACAACCCCTTTTGAGGGGCAAAAACCAGGTACCAGCGGTTTGAGAAAGAAAGTTAAGGTGTTCATGGAGAAACATTATACTGAAAATTTCATTCAATGCATTCTAAATGTACTTGGAGACAAAGTAAAAGGATCCACACTCATTGTAGGTGGTGATGGCAGGTATTTCTCCAAACAGGCTATCAATATCATCATCAGATTAGCTTCTGCAAATGGGGTGAGTAGGTGTAACTAAAATTTCTCAAGATTCCAAATCTGTGTTACTATAACCTTGTAGGTTGGTTTGTTATAATATTAGTTAGTAGATCAGAAGAGAAGTCATCTCTCATTTACAAAACTGTAGTTTTGAGAAATCTTTCATAAACTTGTTTCAGTCCAAGATGTTATCAAATTGCACATCTTGTGTATCATAATTAATGAAGTGATAACATTTTGAAAACATAGCTTGAATAAGTTACATCCTTGGTTACATCACTACTACATTGCAAGTGGTAAAATAAAAGCAATATCATGTCAACTATTGTCTGAAACCTTTTCTAACAATAACAAAAAAAGGTGGATTGTGTCTTTAAGTATTTCTTGTGAATTTATGATTCAGAAACACCTACTTTGAATCAATAGGTATTTTTACAATCTAAAAATTTATTTGACTACCTACTTGAAATATTTTACAAATAAAATGTTCACATATTCAGTTATTAAAAATTGCAATATATAGGGAGAAGAGAAAGGCCAACAAAATATCTAAAAAATTAGTTACTAAATCTAGAAAACTTCACAAACCATAAGATTTCCACAAAAATTCTCAATAACAGAACATGTTTGGCTAACACAATATCTTCTTCAAGAGAAATATTAGTGCAAAGACCAAACTCTGTTTTTTTTGTAAGAGTATTTCACTGGAAGATCACTACTGTGATCCTTCTACTGTATTAGCAAAACATGAAGAAGAATTTTTGTGATAATCTTATCATTTCTGTAGTTTTTTACATTTACTATGGATTTCCCAGGATTTCCATCAAGTAATTACCAAGTCAATTGACCTGCTCTATATTACTCTAGATAGCACTTGATCTGTAAATATTTTAGATATGGTCCACTATTATATGGTCTCAAAATATCTCTTCAGTCTCAGTTATAGTTAATAAAGAATGTTGCTTAACAGTTGATAAGTTTGTCTTTTCAGTGTGAAAATGTACCCCTCTTTTTTCTTCTTTTTTTCAGATATATTTCTCAAATTTGGAATATGGAATATGCTCAATAGAGGTACTTTATCACATTTAATGAATTTGTTCCCGCCTTCCTGTTCCAAATTTCAGAAATATAGCTAGAGAAACAAATAAGAAAAGGGGGGTATACCATGTGTATTCTTCCATATGTGCCTACCAAGAATGCACATTGAGATTTATTACATTATTGATTTTTCAATGAAATATATATATTCTCAAAAATTTCAATATTCAACATATTATCAACAAATGGCATGCTTACCATGAGAAGAAAAATGAAAAGAAAGTGCTTAGAGCAATGAACTGCTTTTTAAAATCGATTCTTTATTATAATAATACTAACAGACCTTGCATAATGTTGTTTTGCTATATACATTATTTCTATAATATATTTTTCCAGTTCCATATTCATCAAGACACTATTATTAATTTATTTTCTACTTCTTTTTAGTTTCACTATCTATAAAAGTGTGTTTCTTCAGTTTTTCAAACTACCCATGTATTTCAACTTCTTTTTAGTTCACTTGAATTTCCCAATTTTGACGAAAGAATCATAATATCCGACTCCTAAAATCCCAAATGAAAATTTTGAATAGAATCGGAACATTACAAAACTCGTCCGCAATATTGGATCTACCATCTTGAATTCCCTAATTTCGACGAAGGAATCATAATTTGTTATCCCGAAAACGCCCACTTACAAATTTTGAATAGAATCGGTGTATAATTACAAAACTCGTCCGGTATATTGGTTCCACCGTCTTGGATTTCCAAATCCCGCTCTTTCCAAATTTTGACAAAAAAAATCATAATCTCCGACCCCGAAAACACCCAGATAAAAATTTTGAAGAGAGTCGGATCATAATTACAATAGTCGACCGCCATCTTGAATTTCCTAATTTCGACGAAAGAATTATAATCTCCGACCCCGAGAACCACCAAATACCAAATTTGAATAAAATCGGATCCTAATTACAAAATCCACCATTCTGGATCCGCCATCTTGAATTTCTTAATTTTGAAGAAGGAATCATAATCCCCTATCACGAAAACCCCTAGGTACCAATTTTGAAAAGAGTGGGATTATAGTTACAAAACTCGTCCGCCATTATTATATTGGTTCCGCCATCTTGAATTCCCAAATTCCGCCCGGATTTTCACATTCTGACGAAAGAATCATAATCTCCGACCCCGAAAACCCCCAGATACCAATTTTGAATAGAATCGGACCATAATTACAAAACTCGTCCGATATATTAGATCTTCCATCTTGAATTTCCTAATGGTAGGTACCAGGATAAAAAGTATCCTGGTTCTAAACTACCTTTAGGTCAAAAATACATCACGAAATTTGTGAAGAACCATCTGAACAAGCATATACAACGAGTGAAAGGGATAAAAAAAAATTAATATGGAGCATATTTTCTACATTTTAAAACCGGGGTAAAAAGACTAATTTTACAATTTTACTTTCACCAAACCGTTTTGCCCATATAAATTCGAACCGTTCCGAAAATTTGTTTTTCTTTCTGTCACTGGTCTAATATTTTTTATTATTCAAATGAATGATGAATGTTCTCGAAATTATTATTAGCTTTGATTTGAATTGTGTTTTTTTTAAATCACTTGATATAAATCATGGTTTTTATCTTGATTCAAATCAATTTATTTAAATCAGCCCAACCCTCGTTGGTGGAAATATATTTTCGAGTATATTTTGTTACAAGGAACTCTCGAAACAGTATGTATCAATATAATTCATATCCGTAACATTGTTAGGTTAAATCAAACACAATTAACTAACTTTATTAAGTACTAAAACACAAAATAAAAAGAAGAAGTCGATAGTTGCTCAATTTCTAAGGTTTTCACAAATTTGTTCACTAAAGTTGTTAGAAATATATTTTCTCACAAGAAACTCCAAGTAATATTTAATATCAATGAAACTTGATCGCGTAATATCATGACGTCAAATAAAATATGATTAAACGACTTTAGTTTAATGAAATAATAAAATATGAGTCAATAGTAGCTCGATCTGTCAATTTCTTTCAAAGTCATTTAGCTTTAGTTGGCAGAAATATATTTTCTTATGAGGAACTTATCATCTTATAGAACGAATTCGACGTAATTTGAAGTTAAATTTGAAAAGCCATCCTACTTATAAACGTCAAAAAAATCCAGTTGCTATAGTAACGACACAAAATATAGGCTTCTAATTGTTCGAAAATGTTGGATGTGAAATTTTCCTATCTCCCGCATTTTTTGCCTTTTAGATGGATAGAAAATGACGGTAGAATACTAGAACTGAAAAAAAAACGCATATCAATTTTTTTGTAAATACCGCGTTTGATTTGAGCAGGACATACATAATTGTCTTGATAAAGTCATAGTTAATCTATGATAAAGTCAATCTACTTTGACTAGTATTCCTATGCAAATACTTGGTGCGTAACAATATAATTTGTAAACAATCTAGATATGATTTACATGTGCTCTTATCATTTCACACCCATTTTTGTTGTGAAATGTGATATCAATTAATAAGCTTCAGAACTTCGGTGGGCACGGCAATTGACTTCAACTTTTGATCACAGTACGTAGTTATCAATGGTTATAAATCGAGGACCATGATAGTCACATCTGGGGTACCCCAGGGATCTCACCTGGGACCCCTACTGTTCTGAATCTAACGATGTTGATCAGTGTTTCAAATAGGGGCCAAGTTCAAACTTTTTGCTGACGCTCAGAAGGAATACCAATGTTTTCCATTAGACTAGGTTCACAGAATATTGTGCAGTTACCGTAATAATCATTCTCCCACTTTCAATCTTGTATTGTGCTGTGAGGTTTTGGGAGATTGTGATGTCATCAAAGACTTAGGTGTCCACCTAGATACTAAATTAACCTTTGGCACACACGCCGAATCGACGGTGCAGAAATCTTGCGTTTATTATGAGGGCGACAACTTCTTTCAGAGATCCAGATGCTGTTGAAACGTTGTACAACTCCCTTGTCAGATCCTCCCTGGAGTATGCATCTGTCATCTGGAATCCCTTGAATCCCCTGAATTTTCGATTTAACCATGGAAAAATTGTCTCCTCATACAATGCCAATATCAAACACTACAAAATTGAAAATCTTGAACTGAGGAGAAAATTTTTCGACACACTTTGAACAGTACTCCATATGCCGTGAGAAACAGACATCTCTTCACAACTGGACCTAGCTCTATTAACTCTCTACTGGATTCTCCCTTACATAGGTGCATACATTCTTATAATGTGATAGGAAACAACTCTCTTGTAGATATTTTCACCACGAAAATATTCAGGTTCAAAACCAAATTGAGGCAAATTATTCACTCTTGACTTCTTTTCACATAATTAGGTATTGTAACCTCAACTGTAACGACTCCTCTTCAAATAGCTCACTGAAATTCACCTTTTCTATTTACTGTTTTTTTTTATATTCCACTGTTGTAATCAATCTCATTTAGATAAACTTTAACTTTTCATAACCTTCGATTGTTAACTGATGTGCTTCTCTGTAATTGGGTCATTCGACCTGTTGAGTAGCCTGTATCCTATGAAATCAAAAAATAGAAAAGACATTGTTCAAAGTTGGTAGAAATATATTCTCTCACAAGAAACTTGAAGTAATAAGTATTGCTCACGTAATATTATTAGGTTAAATGAAATATGTTAAACGACTTTAGTTGAAAGAAATAATCATTCTCTTAGTTTCTCAGAAGTTCATTCAGCTAAAGTTGGTAGAAATATATTTTCTTACAAGGAACTTATCAACATATAAAATAAATTTGACGAAATCTGAAGTTTAATGTAATTGTAGTTTTACTTATAAACGTCAAATAATTTCCAGTGTAATTTTATGCTTCTCTCCGCAAAGAGGAGGAAAAAATGTGCAGAAATCTATTTAGTTGCTATGGTAACAACGCAAAATACAGGCTTTTTGGTGGTCGAAAATGTTGGCTGTGAAATTTTCCCAACTACCGCATTTTTCGTCTTTTAGATGGATAGAATGATGTTAGAATACTAGAACTGAAAAAAAAAACGAAAATCGAATTATTTGTAAATACCGCGTTTGATTTGAGCAGGGCAGTATTGAACTTGAACATACATTGTCTTGATAAAATCAACTTGGTGCTTAATAATATCATTCGTAAATAATCTAGATATGTTGGACATGTGTCTCTTATCATTTCACACCCATTTTTGTTGTGAAATGTGATATCAATCAATGAATGATACATATTGTTATTCATTGTAGGTGTCGAAATTAGTCATAGGACAACTTGGACTTTTATCCACTCCTGCTGTATCAAGTCTGATTAGAAGACATAATGTATTAGGTAAGTCAATAACCCAGATAATGGGCGTGTACACCTTAGTAGAACTTTTAACTCAAACCATGTTTATAATGATTCTTTTATACATAAATAATGATTGACGACATAATTCGATCGAAAAATTAACTGGAATGTTTTATTTTTGGACATAATTAATAGTACCTTCTGAAAACAGACACTCTTATCAAAGAGGACTATTCTTTGCTCTTATGATGTAGAAACCTCATCTGTGGTCTCGCGCTAATTCACTCTGGAACCAATGACTCCAATGAGCGAGACCCATGTGTGACACATCACTGTTGCCATATTATCCAAACAAAATATTCGAGAGATCGAAATCGATATTGAAATATCTTTTGATATCCACTACCACTACTGCAGAAAAATATAATATTCAAGTTGTCGATTGTAGGTTGAATTATCAGAATATAAACAATCTCTAGACAACGAAATGTCTCAATCCCAAAACCATTTGCACCATTACAATTTCACAATAATCCAATACATTTCATAGACGCCGCAACATTGCTTTGTTGACCCGTTTTACATGGAGCTGCAAAAAGTTAATATAGGTTAGAATTGATCTTCTTCTTGTTCTTGTTATCTTTGTCCCAAAAATCAACTTGCCGATTCACCAATCTTGGTGCTTTGTCAGAAATCATGTATCATTCATCTCTGTCTGGAATAGTCTTGTATTAGGGTTTTGACGTCACATCATCGCCTCGTATGGTTTTCTTCTCATATATACAGGGTGTCCCTAGACCAGTGGGACAGTTAAATATCTTCTGAACCAATAGGAATTTTCAAGATATTATAATTTCACATCATATCGAATTATGAGTGCTAACTTCAGGAATGACTATATTTTATACAAGGGGCGCAAGAAAGGCTCACAAAATCGAACATCAATTTTTTCAAATGGAACACCCTGTATTCCATTGCATTTTCATATTCTCCTTGAAGAGCTGAGTTCAACGACCTAGCACACTTGGGGTCTAGCAATGATTATTTACGAGATATAGGGGGTTGAAAATCGAGATTTTTCATTTTTGGGAATTTTTTGTGTCGCAACTATTCATTATTGGTCAAAACGGCTTACATGTCCATATCTCAACTTTTGATTTACTATTCACTCGTATTTAATTGAAACAAAAACAGGGTGGTGTAGAATTAACAGTTTCAGTCAGAATTCTACACCACCCTGTATTTGTTTCAATTAAATACGAGTAAATAGTAAATCAAAAGTTAATATATGGGCATGTAAGCCGTTTTGACCAATAATGAATAATTTCGACACAAAAAATTCCCAAAAATGAAAAATCTCGATTTTCCACACCCTATATCTCGGAAATCATTCCCGATAGACCCCAAGTGTGCTAGGTCGGTGAATTCAGATCTTTAAGGAGAATATGAAAATGCAATGAAGTACAGGGTGTTCCATTTGAAAAAATTGATGTTCGATTTTGTGAGCCTTTCTTGTGCACCTCGTATAAAATATAGTCATTCCTGAAGTTAGCACTCATAATGCGATATGATGTGAAATTATAATATTTTGAAAATTCCTATTGGTTCAGGAGATATTCAACTGTCCCACTGGTCTAGGGACACCCTGTATAGTTGGCGTATGTTGAATTAGTTTTTTTTTAATTCATCTTATGCTCATGAATGCGCTGATTGAACGTACGACCTGTCTGACCGATATATACCTTAGGACAAGATACACAGTTGAGTTTGTATACCCCTGATTTTTCGAATTTAGGAGTTTTTTTCTTTGTTATTTTTGATAAACCTTCCCAGCGTGTTATTTGTTCTATATGCTACTTTTATGTCCTGTTTATGTAGAAATGAAGCTAATTTTTCAGTTGATGATCCGAAATAGGTTAAAGTTCTATAATTTTGATTATTATTCTTGATGGTAGGATAAACTTCCTGAATAGCTTTATTATGAAGTTTTTTTGAAAGAATACTGCATGTGTATATGCTTCCAGTGGGAAAACAATGATTTATGAAAAGTGACATTTCATGACCTGTCAACAGAGATGAAATTGCAAACTTTCTTTCCATCACAGAAAAACAGTCATTTTTTTTCTTTCAATAGGAATCTCTTTGGATAAACATTGTAGATGAATGTTTCTAGAACATTGTAGATGCCGTTCCAGAAGCGGATCAACCGGACTATTATTTTCAAAATTTTTGATATAGATATAAGGTGACCCCTTCATTTAGGAAGGGGTGGTAAGTCCTAGTGTACAGCATCTTCTCTGCTAAAACGATGAATGTTCACCCATAAATGATCAAAAATGATCTAGAAATAATCAATTCCAAATTAATTCGTTTCAAGGTGGAATTGTTTTGACTGCTTCTCACAACCCAGGAGGTATAAGGCATGATTTTGGCATCAAATATAACATTGAAAATGGTGGCCCAGCCCCAGATTATGTCAGTGATGCTGTCTATGAAGAATCAAAGAAAATTACTAGCTATAAAACAACTCCCAAATTGGAAACTGATCGACTCATTGATATCTTGGGTACCTATAATTTCAATGTAAGTAACAAGAATCATGGAAATCATTCCAAATGTGTGAGAAAAATATTTTTTTCTGCAACCGACACAAAAGTCGTCTATTTTGATACCAAAATTAGCTCTTAAATTGACGTTTCTATTACTGACACAAAAATAGGTACGTTGCTAAGCAACATATTTAGTTCCTAGGAGCTAAAGTTGAATTTTAGTTCCTAGGAGCTAAAGTTGAACTTTAGCTCCTAGGATCTACTGGACTGGAGAATGAACAACATTGTGACGGTTGGTTATTTGGGTTGAGACGCATACCTGATTTGTTTCCGATTTCAGCAGATTTGGCATTTCATACCCATGCTGATGGAGATATGAATACACCTTATTATAGTTTAGTATTGAAATTATAAACATCTCAGTTAAGTATTTTTGTTTTGATCAGGGAAGCCTTCAAGATTCAAATACTTGCTTGATCTGTATTTCATTCGTTATTCTCGGGATGAATAACTTGTTTTTGAATAATCACGGCAAGCAATAGTTTTTTTGTCTCAAACAACGATATTGTTTAGCTTCATTTGATTATCAATTCAAACACAGTGTGGTATGGAGAGGAATAAATAATCACTATTATCATTGTTGATATGCTCACTAACCTAACATTTTCCACGTCTTGTTCCTATAGCTGGCACTGGCGCGGTATTTGCCATTAGAGCACCTGGTCCATACACAAATATGTCACACTGTGGTTGTATTTATATTGAAACTACAATTCGAACATCCTAGAATACCTAACCTGCTGTAAATGCAGGTAGAATATTCTCACCACATGTTTATTTGAGTTAATTGTTTCGGTTGCAGAAAAAATAGCATGTTTCATTCGGATCAAAAGTGACTTTGTTCGACTCGCAAATTTTGCTTTCGCTCGGCTTCGCTAAACGCTCCGCCTCGCAAATGCAAAATTCGCTTGTCAAACAAAGTGTCACTTTTGATCCTAATAAAACAATCTACTATTCTCTGTATGTTTGGGTAGCAACTCCCTGTATATTTTCAGGTTGATGGACGAGATTTTGTAGTGGAAGTAATAGATTCTACTGCTGATTATGTGGGGCTAATGAAACAGATATTCGATTTTCCAAAACTTAGGACTCTTATTCGTGGTACTGAAAAACGTCCTCCTTTCAATGTACTCATCGATTCAATGAATGGAGGTAAAGTATTAATTACTAATCCAATCAATAATACCGGGTGACCAGTTATATTCTGACCCATTTCAACTGCTCATATCTCCGCAACATGCCGAAACTATTCAGATTATCGTTGTCCGGTTTGGACTTCTCTATTTTGATATTCTTCAAGTTTTTGACTGGTTTACCTTCACACCTGAACTTCCGGTTCTACCGGAAACAAACGAGCCATTATTCAGGTATAGGGCAACTTTGATAACATCCCATTAAACCATTCCACAAGCAGTAGTTGTTTCAAAGAGTTATAACTCTAATTGTTTTCTAGGAGAACATAACTTGTAATACATTGTTAGATAGAGAAAAGACCAGTCTTTCTGAATGTGCAAAAATATACAGGGTGATTCAGTGAAATAAAAAAGTTGCCCTATATCTGAATAATGGCTTGTTTGTTTCCGGTAGAACCGGAAGTTCAAGTGAGAAGATGACATGTCAAAAAAAACTTGAAAAACATCAAAATAGACTAGTCCAAACCGCACAACAATAACTTGAATGGTTTCAGAGATATGAGCATTTAAAATGGGTCAGAATATAACTGGTCACCCGGTATATTATGGGGTATGTCACGATGACCTTACACTATCTTTATATCAAGAATCAGTCGGGAGAAATCTATGAGAATGTGCATGCTTATATTTTAGAATACGCTCTCTTCATTTAAAATATTTTCGACAATGCAGTGTTGCCGCTTCTACTAGAAAGTATTAGCAACATTGATATTTCGAATGGAACACCCTGTATTTCATCGCATTTTTAGATTCTCCCTGAAGAGCTGATTTTATCGATATATCACACTTGGGGTCTATCGAAAAAGATTACCGAGATATAGGGTGTTCAAAATCAAACAAATCCTCATATTGAAAAATCTCGATTTTGAACACCCTATATCTCTGTATCATTTCCGATAGACCCCAAGTGTGATGTATCGATGGAATCAGCTCTACAGGGAGAATCTAAAGATGCAATAAAATACAGGGTATTCTATTTGAAATGACAAAGTTGTTGCTACTTCTTGACAGAAGCAGCAACACTGCATTGCTGAAGATATTTCAAATGAAAAGAGCGTATTCTAAAATATAAGCCTTTATATTTTCATGGAGATGTATGCTCGTCGTGACATACCCTGTATAGTGTGGTAATATAGTTTGAATTAAAAAAAAATTTTAGGTACAAATTGATTTTGAAAATTAGTTAGGCAGCAGATATCAGTTTTCTATTTAATTTTCTTATATTATGTAATCTGATGAATCTATTTGAATCAATATTATACTCAGAATTGGTTAGCTCATATTTTTGAAAATTAAACAAAAATTTTGTGACATTGAATTTGAATAAAAGAAGTGAACACTGAGCTTGAAACAGATGAAGCAATTGGTATAATTTCCAAAAACGACCATTTCATCCCGAGGATATGTACTTGCATGCCTTTTTAAATGATGTCCAAAAGGTAAAATTTTTTGTCATACTAAAATTTACAGGGCGATTCACTATATTTCAAAACCACCTAATGACACTCCTTGTTGAACGAGCTCTGGGATCTTTTTAAGGAAATACCCAGTACATTTCCAAGTATCCTTCCTGATATGAATTCAGTATATAAAAAAAACTGTATTTGACCTGCGACTTGCTAGAAAAATGTGTATATCGTAAATTATCAATCTTCAATATTCTCGAATTCATTTCCATTTCATTCAGCAAGTTTCTATTTTGAAAATACTGATTCCGAATTTCAGTTACCGGCGTTTTTGTAAGGAAAATATTCGTCGAAGAACTCGGTGCTAGTCCGGACAACAATGTTTGTAGAATAGTGCCTCTAGACAATTTCGGGGAAATCCATCCGGATCCTAACCTCACATATGCCAAAGATCTCGTAGATAAAGTGAAAGCTAATACCAGCTATGATTTCGGCGTGGCATTCGACGGAGATGGCGTAAGTTCAAACACAAAAATTTACCCAAAATACCACAATAATGAGCAATGTGTTCTTTAAATCTTGTGCTGATACTTTGACGTGTTTGCCCAATACCTATATCTCATGTTACAATGCGTATCTGACTCAAAATTAGTATTCATTTCATGTTTTGGGCTTCCTTAAACACTATGAATGATTTAAAAATACCATTCAGATTTCTCGTGACTCGTTGATGGTGTAGGCTGAAAAAAAATTGAGATATGTCTCTTATGAACCATCATTTTTCAAGTTCAATAATGTACAAAAAATTTCACAATAATACTTTAAAAATGTAATTTATCAAACTGATTACATCTATCAGAGGTGAGCAATATGTTCCTTAAATCTTGTGTCGATACTTTGACGTGTTTGTCCAATACCTAAATCTCATTTTTTTGGGTGTATGATAAATTGACATTCATCATACAATGCAATCATACCTGACTTGAAATTAGTATTCAGTAATCTTTTGGGTTTCCTAAAACACTATGAATGATTGAAAAATACCATTCAAATTTCTTGTGACTCGTTGATTGTGTAATTTGGAAAAAATGAGAAATGTGTCTCTGATGAACCATTATTTTTCAAGTTCAATAATATACAAAAATATCACAATAATATTTAGAAAACTTGATTTATCAAACTGAATTTTCATATATCTGAGGTGAGCAATATGTTATTTAAATCTTGTGCCACTATTTTGACCTGTTTGCCCAATATATCTCATATCATCATTAATAATGCATTCCAAGAAACTTGACTTAACATTACTATTAATCTTTCGAGTTTCCTGAAAGACTATGAATAATTCAAAAAGCCATTTAGATTCCTTGTGTCTCTACAGCTTTCCATGATGTATACAGAGTGACTCAAAATTCGATGTAAATATTTTAAGGACATATTGTTGGGATCTAAATACGACTTTTCCTCTAAGCTACAGTCACTGTAAGTTAGACGAAAGAAAAATATTCTCTAAAATACGTGTAGTGTTTTTTTCCTTCTGCCCTAGACGGCGTTGTGTCCATTTCACAATGGTCGAACGCCTCATGAGTATTAAATGCTTAGAGGTGTTAACGTTGAGTCAGGTTCGCACTACATATTGGCCATAAATGCCATCTGGGGGCACCCCAGAAAAGAAAGACTTGCATCTGTATTCGTCTATAAGAATCATTGCATAGATTTCGTTAGGAAGTAATTCAATGTTCTGTGTGTTTGTTATCTTTGTTTTCCCTGGAACAGGCTTATTCCTTTCGAATTATTCAACGAAATGTTGATTTTTATTTCAGGATCGTAACATGATTATCGGGAAGAACGCTTTCTTCGTCACTCCCAGTGACAGTTTGGCTGTATTGGCCAATAATCTCGATTGCATTCCGTATTTCCAAAAGAACGGCGTACATGGTTTCGCCAGATCGATGCCAACTGCTGCTGCTGTAGACAGGTACAATTATTTTTCAAAGAATCATCATAAAAGTGTATTTTCTTCCAAGCAGCATAACTGAGATATTAGCTGTATGAAAAGATCTGGGACACCCGGAATACTTTATAGAGGTTATCTTTCCGTTCGGAAAAAAATACAGGGTTCCTTGTAAAAAATACCAGTTTATGTAAAATTTTTAGGTTTACAATGCTATATTCTGAATACCCATAAAAAATACTCCATTTTTGCCCATCTGAACGTTTCTGTAATACCAATATTAACTGAGCTAGCCATTGAGTAAAATATAAACAATCACCCTGTACATGATGAAATTTCCAGGGTTGCTGAAAAATTGAAGAAAGAAATGTTTGAAGTACCCACCGGATGGAAGTATTTCGGTAATTTAATGGACGCCGGCAGATTGTCTCTTTGTGGTGAGGAAAGTTTTGGGTGAGTCAAATATTATAAAAGTGGGCCATATTTTCAGGGATAGACATTTCTCATTGTGAGATTATTCTATTTCTGTCAGCTCAAAAACTGCTGGATTGATAATCATTGAGAATAAAAACGATAACAACTCATTTATCCCTCGTTTCTCAGAGGAAATTTCATTCGGTGACTAAATATAAAAGTCGTTATGTTGGCAGCAATTGTTGTCAAATTCAATGTCACTTTTCGAATGCCTTTTGCCGATCCCAATAGTCTAGAAAACCAATGCATGTGCATGTTACTGTAATATCATATCAACATGATTTGAATGTATCAATTTTTTGTTGAATCATGCTGCTACTTCGAAAAACATCATTTGAATATCCTACAATTTCATGGAAAGTTCAAATAGCGTTCAGCGGCAAACTCATCTACCCAGTACTGACGTCATAATCCCTATTCCTGTGTTGCCAGCTGTTTCATTTCAAGGGCATATCAAGGTGATATATTTCAATTTTCGAATTGACTAACTGTGAATTGTCAAGATGATTCAATATTCATTGATTTAGTTAATATCACCAATATAGGTTTTACTTCCATTTCTAATAGAACAGCGTTAAGAGAGAAAAAATGTCTTTCCCATCTGTCCTTGTCTTCAGTGTTCCAACGTAAAATAATGGGAATTTTATGTTGGTAACATTGGAAATGGGAAAAATGGAGAAGAAAATCATAGTTTCCTCAATATAAAAAGGTTAGATACGGAATACGGTGTGTTCCTATCATTGGATGCAAAGCTTTCTCAATTCAAGGAGCATGTTTCTATTGACCATACTATCTCTTCAAAACGAACAGTCACAATTGGAGTACCTCAAGGCTCAGTTTTGGGGCCTGTCCTTTTCATATTATACTTGGATGATTTGGATGACATATCAGTCCATTTTTCTCCCAATATGTATGCGGATGATACGTCGCTGATCATCTCTATTATTTTTTATAAATTAGTGTTCTTGTCTATGACAGTTAGTTCAAAACCCGAGGAATCCAAGAAGTTGTTATTGCCCTAATTTCCAATAATCTAGCAATTTCAATATAAAAGAAATAAAATAGTTCCTCAAGTTTGTAAACATTTGACGTTTGACACCTCTGAAGCCACCCGCCAAGAAAAAACCGGTAAAATCTCGTTGTTCAATCTTTTTTCAAGTACTGGTTCTGATCACATCAGAGAAAAGGATGGCATATGGGCTGTGCTGGCATGGCTCTCTGTCATCGAGCACAAGAACATGAGCGTGGAAGAAATCCTGAAAGAACATTGGAGTATTTATGGAAGAAATTATTTCACCAGGTAATTAAACGACTTTAGTTCAATGAAAAAATTGTTCAGAATCACATATTGATTGGTTGAGATCATTGAAATGTCAGATTTTGACATGTGAACAGAGAAATCAACTAAAAACCCCATTTCATTTCATTCAAAAAAATGTCATCGCAATCATATATGATATTTGCACTACTTGATTATCAGATTTGATCATATTATGCTGAAAAATGAAAAATAAAAATTCGAAATATTCTTAGATATGATTATGAAGAATGCGAGAGCGATGCTGCCAATCAAATGATGGAACATTTGGAAAACTTGATTGCTAGTCCTGATCTGATTGGAAAAACGTACACTGCACATGGAAAATCCTACAAAATCAGCAAAGTGGATAACTTTTCTTATGTGGATCCAATCGACAAAAGTGTTGCTAAAAATCAGGTACAGTAACTAGATATTTCAAAGTGTCTTTAAAAGTTGGCTCAAGCCACTGAATTCACAATCTTTTTTGTCTTTGACTATTGTGTGATTATAGAACTCCACGGATCACCTAACATACGCATAAACTCTAGCTGACATCATAAAAAAGGTATAAACCTTAGGTCATGTGAATAAAATTATTTCATTCCAATGAATCACCCTATATATTCATTCTTATTCCCTTTGACATCTAGCTATCATTCTATTCAACACATTGTTGTTCAAGATTTGTCCGTATTTCCGAGGATATTCTGCCCGTCAAAAGATAATAACCGATGAACCAGATTGTCTAACCAATGGTCAATCGGATATACTCCAATCTTATAAGTACCTTTCAAGGTGGATAGAATATGGTGTAATCAGTGTTTTGTTTCTCCCAAAACGCTCTGCAAGATGGTGACAATTTTTACAGATTTCTTTCATGACAGTAAACAGAAAACGGCACTTACACAGGCTTGCACCAGAAATAATAATATCATAACATTCATAACATAACCTCAAATCGAATGAGTTTAAATTTGAAAGTACGATACTGTAATTTCGGGAAATTGTAATCATCATCAGCTCTATCAACCTTGAATTTTGGTTGAGATTTCGCCATCTAACGGGTAAAATGCAACCTATCTTCCGCGATATTGAAAAGAATCCTTCTGTCAAGTAGGCCGTAGGTCAAGAACTTTGACCGAAAAACAGTATTTGGGGTTGGATAGGAGTTTCTACACCATCTTCTGTTCAACCAGTACCTATGTAATTGTGTTTTGTAATATTTGTGAGTATATTTGAATTGAGAATTATAGGAATATGATTATTTTTTTATGAGAATGTTCGTTTTGTTTGTTTCTATTTTGTTGAGCAACTTTTCTGTTTACTAAAAGTACATAATTGTTTTGTCTCATTCCTGGTGTGTCCCACCATGTTTCAAGGAACTGCCTCTGTTCATTCATTCATTTGGATATAATATGTAGAGTTGAATGAGAAAATACAATCATGTGGAAATTACGTATGATACGCCAATGTCCTCGATATAACCTAAAAAACAATAAATGTCAGAAATCTAGTATTTATCCCCAGAAATGAATAAAGATGGAACTATATAACTGTTTTACAAACACTTTAGAGTGAGAGGAGTTGAGGATCTGTCCGTACCCTGTTAAGATGACAAATACGTCAATTTACATCAAGGGACCCTATGGGTTGCGTGCAAGAACTGTCAGATGACCCTGGAGGCACAACATTGAAACATAACCTCACTTTTCTTGTTCACAAGTTATTGAAATAGTTTTTCACAAATCGTATTTTTCGGCTATTGATCAATTCGCCCATGCCATCACATTGTGCTGTTGTACTATTCACAAAAACTGCAGCGGAAGACGAAGGAATCCGGATGGTACATTATGATTTGAAAGTTTTGGTAATTTCTCTGATTTCACATCGGAATTCCTTCTGCAATAGGAGCTAATAGAAATACTCTTGAAATTTCTGAAAGAATGCAATCAAACGGGAGGACTGGTCTGACATGCTGACGAAATATGATCGTGTGTGTTGTAAACATTTTCAATCTATTAGCAGTATTAGCTTGTATTGCAGAAGTGGTAGAAGGCAGAAGGTATTTTAATAAGGAATGACAACATTTCATAATGATAACTATGTGAGATTAAAATTTACCTGAAAAATCATATTCCTTCGCCTCTCGCTGCATTGCACAACAGCACAATGCGAAGGCATGCTTGAATTAATGAATAGCGCAAAAAACACGATTCGTATGCCAAAATATTGTGAAAAACTATTTCAATCCTTTGATTCCTCTGTAAACAAATAAAAAAGTGAGGTTATGTTTCAATAATTCACAGAAGAGTGAGGTTGTGTTTCAATATTTTGCCTCCAGGGTCGGTCATCGTGCACGGGACCCATAGTCTAACCTAGAGTCACTGGATGGTATTAGGGTCCCTTGATGGAAATTGACGTTAAAGTCACCTTAACAGGGTACGGACAGATCCTCGTCTCCTCTCACTCTAAAGTGTTTGTGAAACAGTTATATAGCTCCATCCTTATTAAATTCTAGGGATAAACACTAGATTTTCAACATTCGTTGTTTTTTAGGTTATATTCAGGTCACTGGCGTATCATAAGTAATTTCCATATGGAATTCCTGATTCAACTATACCAAGATATAGATGAACAATCCTCTAGATTTAGAGTTTACGGGAACACCTAAAACGTCAGAATATAATGTATCAAAATATAATTTATAAGAATATATTTCATCAGAATGGTAATTCGTAGTAACCGTAATTGATAGTTACTGTATTCTGTAAGCACGTTTTTCATCGCTTTGTAAAACATAGCTCCGTAATTTGTAGGTATGTATTATAACAAAACGTGATTCGTCAAAATGTAATCCATCAGAATGGTATTCGATAAGAACCGTATTTGATCATAACAGTAATTCATCAGAACAGTATTTCATCATCACGGTAATTTATCATAATCTGATTCTATCGTTAGGGTATTCTATCAGAACCGTACTACATAAGAATGCTATTCCAACAGAACCTTATTCCATAGCTTCAGTAAATTATCAGTACCGTAATTCGTCGCTTCAGTAAAACATCAGAATCGTAATTCATCAAAATCGTATCGAATAGGAACTGTATTCCATCGTCACATCAATCCATCGACACTGTATTTTATAGTTTCAGTAATTCATCGGAACCGTATTCCATCGGAACTGTATTCTGTCAGAAACATATTCAATCAGAACTGTATTTCATCAGAACCGTATTCCATCATCACCGTATTTCGTCAGAACCGTATTTCGTCAGAACCGTATTTCGTCAAAACCGTATTTCGTCAAAACCGTATTCTATCAGAATCGTATTTCATCAGTACAGCATTCTGTAAATACACTAAATATCCAATTATTGCAGATAACTTCATCACAGTTAGATGCACAGAATATTTGTGTTAGTACCGCCGAATGCATATAGATGCTGTTCAGGGTTTGTTTGGGATGATTTTCGATTGTTTGATGAATCAAACTACTGATTGAAACAAACGCAACAAGCATATTTTTTACTAAATGGAACATTGAATGTCTTCGCGATAATTCAGCATATTCTGCTGCCGTGTTTTCATTCTGAAAATGAATATTTCACTAATATAAATCTAGAAAATATCGGAGAATTCCCCATGCTTCCCATTTGACGAAAAATGTTTGGGAAGTTTTCCAGTCATATTCCTATAACGCTAAAGAATATACAGGGTGATTCAGGTTTTAAGGCACAAACTGAAATGGGAGATAGATCTCATCACATCAATCACAAAAGTTCATACAAACATTAGTCCGATCTCGTTCAGTAGCGGAGCTACAGGGGGTCAAAGTTTAATTATTTTTTTTTATCAATTGAACTATCTCGCTTACTTTTCAAGATATCATTCTGAAATTTGGTGTATTCAATACTTCCTAGAAGATCATCATTTCAAGCATTCTGAAGATTTTCGGAATCTACAGGGTGATACGTTTTTGGAGGTAGAGGCTTTTATCCCCTCCAAACTTCTTCGTAGTACGCCTCTGGCATCTTTCAGTGATCAAATTGTGTAGATCGTTCAATTTAGAGGCTTTTTTTGATCTTCAATTTTTTTCAATAAACGAACCGTTTTTGAGATAAATATGCATATACGTTCTAAAACATGTTAGTACAATGCTCTATCATGTTAATGTTTAAGATGGAAATTATAAAGTAAATTTATAAATTGAAAAAAAAGAGATAATTGTATTGATAGTTTACCTAACTTCAGGATGATACGGTTTTGAAAATTTTCAAAATAGTAGTTTTTTTTTACGGCAACTTCAGAGAACTGAAAGAAAATTGACTTTATTCCCTCCGTTTCCTCGTTACTGACCCAGATTGGACTCGTGATTTCCATTCTAGTGAGTACATTTCATTGCATTCTCAACGAATTTTGTCAAAGAATGAAATATTTAAGCGAAACATAGGCAAAATTAAAATATGAGCCATTTCATGTAGTCATGACTCGTCCCATAATATCACTGCGTTCAAAGAATTTTCTATCAGAGAGCCTAAGAGAAAAATTCATTCGGTTGTCAGTGCCACTCAGTTTTGAGAATGGTCGAAGAAGAGTGATATTGGAAAAATATGGAATCACATTACTTGAAAATTTATACTCTGATATTTCGAATGAAGATGTCACTGCGTTTAAAGAATATTCCTATCAGAGAGCCTAGTGAATTATTTCTTTTAGGCTCTCTGATAGGAAAATTTTTCAAACGCAGTGACATTTTGGGGCAAATCATCTGATTTGTCCTTACTACACGTATATTGGAATGATATTCATATTCTCATTTCATAGAGACGAGGAGAGAAAATCCCAAAATAATTGGAATAATGATATTTTGTGCTTTTCGAAAACACAATACAGTTTATACTTGGTGGGTCACGGTAGATGGCACCTTAGACGTTTACGCATCATTCTGAAAATTTGGTTACACTAGTAATTGCTCTTGATCTATCGATCTAAAATATTTTCAGCTCTGCGGCGTTGCCGCTTCTATCGAAAAAGAGCAACAACTTTGTTATTTTAAATGGTACACCCTGTATTTTGTTGCATCTTCAGATTCTCTCTGAAGAGCTGATTTCATCGATATATCACACTTGGGGTCTAGCGGGAATGATTACAGAGATATAGGGTGTGAAAAATCGACATTTTTCAACTTAAGGAATTTTTTTGTCGAAACTATTCATTATTGGTCAAAACGGCTTACATGTCCCTATCTCAACTTTTGATTAACTATCTACTGATATTTAATTGGGACATATACCGGGTGATCAAGAATCTGAATTCTGCACCACCCTGTATTTGTTTCAATTAAATGTCAGTAGATAGTTGATCAAAAGTTGGGATAGGGACATGTGAGCCGTTTTGACCAATAATGAATAGTT